TTCTTATTTTTTTCTTTTTCCTTTTTTTATTTTACTAATATTATTTTAATCAATAATAAAAATTTATATAGTTTACATATATAGCATAAATTTATTATATATTTATTTCACAGTAAAATCGTACAGTTAAGATGTATTCTAAGCTAACCAGACTCAAATGGGCTTACATGGCTATCGATCTTTACAAAGATTCTGGATAAATAGCTGCATATTATTGATAGAACTGCTTGATTGAAATAGGATAAATTAAAATAATATAAAATAATAAAAAATGCGCAATTCAACTAATATGTATATTAAAACAAGTATATTTAGAAATTCAAATAAGTAGTTGAGAAATCAGATAGCTACAAGTCCAGCTTAGTTTTAGAAATATTCCCAATGCACCTCAAAGTCACTTTCCTCTTTCATTCGGATGCGCCAACTCGTGCCTGCAGGCTTGAATGCAGAATTGGCATCTTGGCCTTTTTATCTGTGCTGAAACTTAAGTGCATAACGGCACTGTCGTCTGCACATGCATCTGACGATTCTAATCGTAGACTCAGGCTCAGCTTTCTTCGTAGCTCGCCCTGCAGTAATTGAGTTGACGAGGCAGTTGGCTCTTGCAGCTCATCAGCGTCGATCAAAGGGAGAGCTGATTATGCTAGCCACACAAAGGCCGTTGACAATAGATAAACCTTTGACTTGGCCGAGTTCTATCTGTTGGCCTGCATCTGGCCCGCCGATGCCACCCCGCTGCCCCTCTCCCTTGTTGCAGACTCAACTACAGCTGCGGCTAGACAATGGGCCAAATGCTTTCAGCTGGCCGGATGTAAGTGTGTGTCGCTCGGTGTATGTGTGTGTGTGTGTGTGTGTGTGTGTGTGAGCGGCTATTGGCGTCGCTAGTGGGCGTGCGTGGGCGTGGCTGGCTTGTAATAACTCACGCCTTTTGACACAGATTAAACCAGCATAAAGACAATGCCAGACAGTAGGCAGGCAGGCAGAAGAGAGGGAGGACAGAGGGAGAGAGAAAGAGAGAGAGAGAGAGATGGAGAGCAAAGAGTACGTTGACGATGACGAGAACAAAAGCAAACTTGGCCAAAGCATTTTATGACCCTTTTCGGCGAGAGTATGCGTGCGTATGTATGTGTGTGTGTGTGGGGGGTGTGGGTGTGGGTGTGCGTGTGTTTGTCTGCGTGGGCGGCTTGTGTAAATGTTATCCTTTATTGTTTGGCAGGCTTTGCTGCATGCAGCCAGCCCGACTGCCTCACTGCCTGCCTCACAGCCTCACTGCCTGCCTGCACATGTCACTTGGCGAGACTGCTTGCAATTTCCCCTCGAACCCCAAGCGAGGACCCCTTGTCGCCCCACATTCTTGGCAATTCCTTGCCGAATACCGCTTTATTGTAACTGACAGCAGCTATTGTCCTGCAAGCTGCAGCAGCAACTCCTGCCGAGTTTTAGCGGCTGCATTCCTGCACTTCTCTTCGCCTCTCTACTCCTTTATTTTATTTATTAATTTTGTTTTTTTTTTTTTTTCTTTTGTATGCCATTCTGAGCGTCATGTTGTGAACGCCCGCCGCACATTTATGTGAATATTAAGTATAATATTCCCCTCGTTGCACTGCAACTGCAACTGCCAGTCTGAAGCATGCCCAGGCACATGCCACATGCTCTGATTGTTTTTATAATAAATGCATATAGTTAATTTATGTAAAGCTTTAGCCCTATACATATGTATATGTATGTGTTTGTATTATATACATATGTATATTCATGCATGCCAGACATTTGGGCGTGGCATACTTACTTTCATTAAGCTACAAACTACAGTGCAGAAGGCAAAAACATATTCTCATTAATATTTTACATATATTTTACTTATT